GTAGCACTCCAAATTTCCCAACACCATTTATTGAAGAGGCTGTCTTTACTCTACTATGTGCTCTTGCCCCCTTTGTCAAATATTAATTGAGCATAATGACTTGGGTCAATTTTTGGGTTTTCTGTTCCATTGGTCTATATGCCTGTTTTTGTGCCAGTACCAGGCTGTTTTGATTACTGTGGCGTTACAGTATAACCTGGTATCTGGTATTGTGATCCCTCCTACTTTGTTCTTATTTTTCAAGATTGCTGTAGCTATTCGAGGTTTTTTTTTGGTTCCATATAAACTTTTGCAGTATTTCTGTTCTAGTTCTGTGAAATATGTCATTGGTATTTTGATGGGGATTGTGTTGAATCTATAGATTGCTTTGGGTAGTTTGGACATTTTAATGATGTTAATTCTTCCAATCCACGAACAGGGTAGAACACAGGTTGTTTTTAAGAGAGTCATTGGTGGTGGAAGAGAAAGAGAGAACAGAGAAAGAGAAATAGCTTCATAAACGTGAGGGAGCAGATTATTTCCACGAAAAAGGCTTTCAAGCACTGGTCTTCTTACCCTTATGCCAATATTTAGTCTGCTGATTCTCAGTGCTAATCCCTTTGTTGCTATTAATTCATTTAACAAATATTTCTTGAACACATTTTGTGTGTGTGTGTGTGTGTACTACAGCATGAGACATAGTACTTGGAATAGAATGGTGAACAAGACAGGTAAATCGTTTCATGGAGCACATAGTCTAGTTGGGCTAGGGGTGGGAGGTAGACAGTAGACAGACAAATAAGTGAAATAATGAGATTGTGATATGCTATAAACGAAATAATGTTCCATGCCAGAGAAGTAACAGGGTAGCTTTCTCTGAGGAGATGACATTTCAGTTGAGACTTGGTGGATGAGAAGGATCCAGCCATCTGAGGAAGAGTGGAAAACATATTCCATGCAGTGGATAGCAAATTCAAAGACCCTGAGGCTGGGAAGAGCTGGACATATCTATGGAACTGAAAGAAGGTACAGGTGCCAGGAGCATCATGAGCAAGGGGAAAAGTAGCATAAAATGAGTTGGGAGATGTAGGCAAGGGTGGGGTTATATCAGGCCATAATAGGGTGTTTGAATTATCCTGGTGATGAGGAAAGCCAATGAAGAATCTTAAGCAGGCCCAGCTGGTGTGGCTGAGTGGTTGAGCATGGACCCATGCACCAAGAGGTCACCGGTTCAATTTCCGGTCAGGACACATGCCCAGGTTGTAGGCCTGATCTCTGATAGGGGACATGCAGGAGGTGGCCAGTTGATGTTCTCTCTCATCGATGTTTCTATCTCTCTCTCTCCCTTTCTCTGTCTCTAATCAATAAAGAAAAAAAATTAAGAAAGACACTTAAGCAGGGTAGTGACATGATCTGCTTGATTTTTAGAAAGAGTATTCTGTCTGCTTTGTGGTAATGGGATGAGAGAACGACAAGGCTGGAAGTAGGAAACCGGTCATGGGGTTATTATAGATATCCAAACATGAGATGATGGTGACTTGAACTAGAGGGTGGCAGTGGAGACAGTAAGTGGGCTGATTTGATGTCTGTTTTGGAGGTACATCTACCTGCTTGGCTTAAATGCGGAGGTTACAGTGACTAAAATATACCAAACATAAGAGCTGGGATGGTATTTAAGAGACCATCTGATCCAGTTGTCTTCAGCTGTGACCCAGGAAATATGTGAGGCTGACTTCCTCAGATATATAACTAGTTTGTGAAGGTCTAGATTCAAACTCATATCTAATGTGAATTTTAATGTTATTTGAACTACATGATAACAAGCAGCAAATATCTTCACTCTGTAAGTGTATGCACTTTTATTATACGTATGGTTTTGTATACATAAAATTTTCTGATGTTAAATGAAGAGAAAATTATTAAAAACAAAACAAAACAAAACTAGCCAGCTTTGGAATGCTTGATGTTGCCCTCCTGCCACCTCCTGACAGTTTCTGTTATTGCAGGGAAGGAGTTTTCTAATCTCCCCAAAGGGTTCCCAAATTTACTCAGGGACCCTGTTTATATCCCAACTTTGGCAAGATTCAGAAAGACTTAGAGTCTTGGATAATAGAACCAACCATGCAGGATAATTCATGCATACTAGAATTGTTAAAGGTTTTTAAAAATTGAAAAATTTTATTTAAAAGATTATTTAATTTGTTTTCATTATCAAACAAAAGCGAAAACTTAAAAAAAATCTTGGTCACATACAAAGGAGCTTTTTAACTCATTACAAGCCTCAATTTATCAAATTAGACAGTGATCACAAAGTGGCAGTTATATGATTGAATAAAGGAATAAAGTTAATTGAGATAACTTGCTTACTGAGTAGCAAGATTATATACCTATTTAAGTGAACAGCTAGGGGTAATAAGTGGATTTTATAATGCTAGAAATATTGTGTTAGAAAATAGCACAAGGGACTTTGTGATCTATAACAGAACTAGTATATAAATTCCTTTAAAACCTAATGTTATTTTCCCCCAACATTTTACTATGCAATTTTCAAGTATACATCAAAATTGGAAGAATTTTATAATAACACCAGTATATCCACATCTAGGTCCTGTCATTAACATTTTATTCTATTTGTTTATCACCTATCTATTCATCTGACTATATCTTCTCTGCATCCATCAATTCTTATTTCATTTTGAATCATTTTAAAGTTAAAATTGCAGATAGTACACTTCCTCCTATATTTTAGCATGCCTATCATTAACCAGAGTTAACATTTGTTTATAGTATTTTTTGAGGTAAAATTTAATGCAATTAAATACACACATCTTAAGTGCACATTTGCTGAGCTTTGACAAATGCATACCACAAAGCCCTTCTCAAGATGAAGAACATTACCATCACTCCAGAAAGCTCCTTCATGCTCCTTCTCAGTTAGTCTCTGCTCCCTCCCCCTATCCAATGCAACCACTATTCTGTTTTTGTTGTTGTTGTTTTTTTTTTTACCACAGATTAGTTTTGCCTGTTCTAGAACTTCATATAATCTGTATTGATCTGGAATCATATAGTTTGTACTCTTCTATACAGGCTCCTTTTGCTCAGCATACTGATTTTGAAATTCATCCATTTGTGTGTATCAGTAGTCTGTTACTTTTTACTGCTGAATAGTATTCCTCATATGACCATACTTCAGTTTGTTTATCTTTCTGTTAATGGATACCTGGGCTGTTTCTAGTTTTTGGCTCTTCTGAAGCTGCTATGAATATTCTCGTACAAGTCTTTTTGTAGACACGTTTTAATTTTTTCTGGGATAAGGAGTAGAATTGCTGGACTCTAGGATTACTATATGATTAGTTTTATGCTAGACCTTTTTCTGAAGTGGTTGTACCATTTCACACACATTGTATGAAAGTTTTGGTTGCCCCATGTCCTTGTCAACTTTGGTGTTGTAAATGTTTATAAATCATTTAACTTTAAGCATCATCATTTATAAGTGATTGGAAGAAAAGAGATACCTGTTCGTTTTTATTATTCTCCTAGGGAAGAATTAAAAATTAATTATACTGCTTATTTCTTTGTTCTATTAATTTCTTTTAAACTTTTGACATACATGCAGATTTCTTACAGAAAGCTGTCCTAGACCATTCTTTAGCATTTGACAGTTTTTACCAGTTTTTAATTTACATATTCTTTTGCTTTGTGTATAAGACATCATTATCTCATGGTTTTTCACCAGTCACTCATTGCAGCTTCTCTGCGTGATCTTCACTCTTTGCAGACCCCTTGTAGTTCTTCCGAATTTTAGTCTTGATGCTTTTTTTACTCATACCCATGGCTTCAACTACTACCTGTGCTCTAACCCCTAAGTCTGCTTCTTTAGCTCAGATCTTTCTTGATTCTTGACCTCTAACTATATCTACTTGGGTGTTCCACAGTTATCTGAAGCTTAATTTATTCAAGTTGAATTTATTTTCTTTCCATTCATTTACATATTGCTCATCTTCCTGTATTTTCTAATTTGGTCAATAACCTACAATTTATCTAGTTATTCAAGCCAGAACCCAGGGGCTAAGTCTGGACTTCTTTCTGTAGCCATTTGGTTCATCAGTTCCTGTTGGCTTTCTTCTTGTGTGTGTCTCTAACCTGCCTGCATCTGTCTCTAAGGCCAAGTCTGACATGCTGCTGTCAGGTGCTTCCCCTCTACAGCCCACTCTGTTAATGCTGACTGACTTGTTTTATTTTTTAATAGCTTATTCGGGTTTTTAAATGACAAAAATGGTATATGCCTCTTATAGAAATTCAAACAAAACAAATTTATAAAATTTCTGGTCTCCCCTTCCCCCAACTTTCAAGCCATTTCTATCCTTCAGAAATAACCACTGTTGATAATACTTTGGTGTATACACTCCAGTATTTTCCTTCTCTTCAAACACGTATACACATATGCATATAGATTCTTTGTGAAACAGAATTATACAATACTGTTGTTTTACAGCTAAGTTTTAACTTAATATGTCAATATATAGAGAACTACCTGAAATTGATGTAGCATATTAATATATCATAGTTTATTTAATAATTTCCCATTGATGGATAATGAATAATGCTGCAGTGAATATTCATATATATTCCTGTACATGTTAGTAGAGTTTTGTTGCATAGATTATTAAAAATAGGATTATGCACATTTTAAGTTTTGTTACATCTTGCCAGTGCCCTTCAAAAAGATGGCAACTTTATATTTTCCTATTATTCCAGTGCCAGAGGCTTTTTCTACTTTGCCAAAACTAGGTATTTATTAATCATCTAAGAATGTTCAGTTTTTACTAACTTAATAGGCAAACTCTATATGGTGTTGTGACGATTTAAGACCAGAGTATTTCTTATTCTGAAGATGGCCTGTGACAGTCTTCAACATTTTCTCAATATCATTGCCTGTTTGGATTAGGTGACTTTTAGCTCTTGAACAAGGAAGTTGCTTGGAGAGATGATTTCTGTCTAATATGTGTTTTTGCTGGCAGGACAAACTTCTTGAGACTCAATGTAGTCTAACAGAAAAGTTGAAGACAGCCATGTGTTTACAGGACACGGAAAGGAAGAATGCTACAGAATGGAAGGTAACAGCAGAAGTGGTTGGACATTTCTTGTCCCTGAGGCCCTTTCAATCTGCAGCTGCTTATGTAGTTTCACTGGGATGAGCTTATAGGATGCCATCAGTTGTCAGGTCCCTTGCAGATGAGGTGATAGAACAGAAGTACGTATCTGTCCCTACTGACCTGTTCCATATACTTCATCCCCATCTCTACTTTAAGGTAGTGCTGCCTTCTTTCCCACTTTTTTCTAAGGTTGGAATTGGTTTGGGTTTATGGCAGTGTAGAAATTAAATGGACTGTGTTTTCAGAGATGCTAATCTAGTTCTGAGACATGATGTATGTGCACACACACACCCATCTCAAGATTTAACAAAACTGAACAGTAGGTGTTCTAAGGGCTAAAGTAAATAGTAGATGTGAAAGTGCAGTTTAGTTTAAAAAGTATACAAACAGGCATTGCTAGCAATAGTAGAGACTCAGATGTTACAAAGAATGAATGAATACTATAAAGACTAGTATAAAGATATTAAATAAGTGTAGATAGAGGAGTAGTGGAAAAGTGTAGGGAGTGGGCTGGAGCTTTTCTGGAGGTGGTGATTAAAATGGAAGGACTGTGAATTTTTGGGATGTTATGTGCTAGGAATTTCGAGTGAGACTAGGCAGAAACAAGGACTGAGCAAATCTCATGTGGCTCTAGGACAAGATGAAGAATCAGAAATTGAGATTCCGTGCAGAGTTTACAAAGCTGCACAACTTCCTGGATGAAGAAGAGCAATTGTTTCTTCAGAGGCTGAGCAAAGAAGAAGAAGAGACTAAGAAGAAACGGACTGAGAATACATTACGGCTCCATCAAATAATCACTTCCTTGAAGACGCTCATCTTAGAAGTCAAGGAGAAGAGCCAGGGCTCCACCCTGGAGTTGCTTCAGGTGAGACAGGCAAGGGAGGGATTAGTTAATATTACTAACTGAACTCTGTTGTCTTTAGAGCTGATTGACTTTCTTGGTGAGTGGGTTTAATAGAAGAAATGTTTTCCCTCTGTTGATGATTGTATTACTACTGTCATTTTACAATGAAAGAATCAACCATGGCTGGTTTGTCTCAGTGGTTAGAGTGTTGGCCCAGGGACCTAAGGGTCATAGGTTCAATTCCTGCTCAAGGGTTGTAGATTTGATCCCTGGCCCCAGTCAAGGTCGTACAGGAGGCAACCAATAGATGTGTGTCTCTCTCATGTCGATGTTTCTCCCTTCCTCCCTCCCTTCCACTCTATCTAAAAGTCAATGGAGCCCTGGCCAGTTTGGCTCAGCATTTAGAGCATTGGCCCACAGACCAAAAAGTCACAGGTTCGATTCCAGCCAAGGGCATGTAACTAACTCCATTGCAGTTTGTCCCCAGCCCCAGCTGGGGTGGTGCCAGGGGCAGCCAATCAATGTGTCTTTCTCACATTGATGTCTCTCTCTCTCTTCGTCCCTCTCACTCTACCTGAAGATAAATGGAAAAATGTCCTTGGGTAAGGATTACCCCCCCCCCCCAAATGTAAGAATCAAGGATTTACTATTCAAAGGAAATTAATGTAAAATATAGATATGATTCACTTGGTCCAATAGGTTATCTAGGGTCTGAAGCACATCTAAGACTTTTCTATTTGTCTTATTTACACATTTGTACAGGGTGGGGCAAGAGTAGGTTTACAGTTTGTAATACAAGGATAAACTGTGTTTCTTGTACTCAGAACTGTAAACCTACTTTTGCCCCACCTTGTATTCACCAGCAAACAAAAGGATAAATATAAATGAGCTAAGCATGCCAACTCAAGAAGGGAGGGTGGGAGGAAGAGCTACAGAGCAAACCCAAGAACTAGTAAGGAAAAAAAAATTATAAGGGCAGATAATGATTTTACTGTAACATTATTTGTAGTGGTAATGGTGTTGGGGACAACCCGGGTATCCACTACTCAAAGAGGGGACTGGCAAAAAGTGGACAGATGGATGAAATGTATACATAGAGATGGGAATGGATCTTAAAAACATAATGCCCATGGAAAAAAAGCAAGGAACAGAATGCAATAAGAACTCTAATTCATTGTATAAATTAAAAATATATAAACCTAAGCAATACTATGTATTTTGCAAGAACACATTTAAAAATATTAAGCACAACAAAATGGTTTTTATTTTCAATGTTTCTAAGAAGAATGGAAGTGAGTTATGAGCTAAAAATGAAGGAATAAATGAAAAACAAAAGGATGGAGGGATGAGTGTCAGTAAAATAAGTTCTCTGAGGCTCTAAGATTCTATGATCCAATTATATCTTCTTTAATCATTTGTCTAACTTTGCACGTATGTTGGCTGATACATTTTTTTGTAAGCACTCTGCTGGCTCATGTATATCTTTGAGGTTTCAGACTCTAAATAGATATTAAACCTGTATTTTTAAAAGTATTTAAATGTATTATTTCAAAGATTCTGCTAGAGTACATGTTTGGGTTTGTAATTGGAACTTCCTTACTCAAGCAAGTTATAAAAATTCTAGACAATTCTTGGAGATCATTACATTTAGATACCATAGCTATATTTAAGCTATACTTTTGTCTTTAAGTATTGCTTAACTGTGTCCACAGATTTTGACAATATTATTTTTATTGTGATAGTAAAATAAACATGTTTTAAAACATTTTAAGTATAAAATCCACAGAGAAAAATAAGTAAATCATAAACTTGACAAATTATCACCAAGTGACCCACCCATGTAACCACCACCCAAGTCAAGAAGTAGAGCAAGCTCAAGTAGCATCTCAGAAGCTCTCCTCATGCCCCCAGTCAATATCCCTTACCTCCTCCTTAAAGCAATTCTCCTTTCAGACTTCTAACACGCTTTGTTTTGCCTGTTTTTGAATAAGATTCTTTCAGTATGCACTCTTTTGTGTCTGGCTTCTTTTCCTCACACTGTTATGTTTATTATATTCCACAAATAAGTGAGATCATATGATACTTGTCTTTCTCTGTTTGGCTTGTTTCACTTAGGATGATGCTTTCCAGGTCCCTCCATGTAGTCTCAAAGGATAAGAGATCTTTCTTTCTTACAGCTGCGTAGTACTCCATTGTGTATATGTACCACAGCTTTTTTAATTCATTTGTCTACTGATGGACACTTGGGCTGTTTCCAGATCTTAGCTATTGTAAATAGTGCTGCTACAAACATGGGGGTACATGTATTCTTTCTGATTGGTGTTTCAGGCTTCTTAGGGTATATTCCTAGAAGTGGGATCATTGAGTACCTTTTTAAATGGTAATTAACCTTTTTGATATATTCCTTTTTAAAAAAAAAAATAGTTTTCTTGAGACATAATTCACCCATTTTAAGTGTACAATTGAGTGATATTTATAATTTTATCAAGTTGTTTAATCCTTACCACAATCCAGCTTTAGAACATTTCCATTAAATCTGTTTGTATTTGTTTACAGTTAATCTGTTCTTACTTCCTCCTCAGACAACCTACTGTCTAACTCTATAGATTTTACTTTTTTGACTGTATCACACAAACAATCATATAATATATGGTCTTTTGTGTATGTATTCTTTTATCTAGGATAATGTTTTTGAGCTTCGTTTATATTGTAGCATGTATTAGCATTGCATTTGCATTCCTTTTTAAATTTCTGAATAGTATTCCATTGTAGAATATACCACATTTTGTTTGTCTTTTCACCAGTTGTTGGGCATTGGGGTTGTTTCTACCTTTTGACTATTATAAATAATGCTTCTATGAACATTTGTCTGCCATTCTTTGCATGAACATATGTTTTCATTTCTCTTGGGTAGATAGTAGGAGCAGAATTGCTGGGCTGTCTGGTATACTTATATTTAACTTTTTAAGAAACTGCCAAACTCTTCCAAAGTGGCTGAACCATTTTATATTCTTACCAGACCCTCACCAATATTTGTTATTGTCTATGATTGAAAGAAGAGAGATGGAGAAGTTGGCAAAAAACAGGAGAGAGTTAATGTCATAGTGCTAAAAGAGAAAGAATAGGGCTTTAAGAAAGGGATTGATTGACATTATTAAATAGTACAGAGGGGTCATATAAGAAAAAAACTACTTTGTGTCAGTTCACTAGCTTTGGCAGCATGAAATCACATGTGACATAAACAAAAGCAGAAAAATACATGCTCCCTAAGTTGAGTACCAGATCTCAAGAGGAAGGTATGTAACTTACTTATTTCTTTCTTCTCTTTTCACAGAATCCAAAAGATCTTTTGACCAGGTATGAACTCCTTCTTTCTTATGGGGGCCTGAGTGGAATGATAAAGATACAGCTTGAGCAAAGGGGAAACAAGGCCCAGCTCCATAGATTGATCTGGGCACACCTGGAAGGGTCTGTGGAGGAGGAATTCTGTTCACTTTTGCAAGGGATAGAAGAGAAGTTGTCTAAGCTTTGGGCTTGGAACCTTCACATGGGAGTTGGGGGTCTTAGCTGCCCCCATAAGAAGAGTAGCCTTCTGTGCTTTTTTTTAGGAGTAAGAACCAGGATGTAAACTATTCCCTTGAAGTTCTAGAGGTGAAGACTTTGTGCCGTATACCAATGCTAAAGGAAATGCTGAAGCGATTCCAAGGTGAGCAGAATATCTAGGAGTTGGAGCTTCCTATAAATCTTTAAAATAAGAATAAACAGAGAGGTCTGGAAAGGAATGAGGAAACAGGATATGCCGCTAACATGAGGGTCAGGAAAAATGGTAACTACTTAGGAATAAATGAATATATGCTTCATTCAAGAAACATTTATTTAACACATACTATTTGTTTTTTTAAGCCACTAGTGATACAGAAAGAAAAAGACCTATTCCTTCTAAGAATTCATAAGCAAATTGGAGAGACAGACACATATCTCTGTAATATTGTGTGATTCATTGTTTATCAATGGTATGAATAACATATTACAGAATTACAGAGGAAGATCTCTGTTGGGGGTTGAAGTAGGGAAATTTTCATAGCATAGGTGACACTTTTGGGATTTGAAGGATGAGTAGGAGCTTGCCACGTGGAAAAAGTGAGTGTACTTTTTACACAGAGGTAGCAGCATAAGCTAAAGGTGTGGAAAATGAAGGGAAGGGTATTCATTGTGTCTAAACCATAAGGTGCATCATGAGGAAAGGCAGGAACTGAGGCTGAGAAGATGAGTGTAGGAAAAGCTGAAGGTAAACTTATGGGATCTCTAGGAAAGTACCAACATGAACATGTTGTGAAAGCTATGTAGGCAATTCTCGTGCACATCCCTGCTTAAGAACCATGTTGTGGATGTTCCCGTCTGGTTAAAATGAAGTAACAGGGACTTTTGCCTGAAACTGTTTTAGTTAATTAAAAAAAAAAAAAAGACACAGCACTAGAAACAACAAAACAACAGTTTTCAAAACACCAGGCATCAGCCAATGATCCCTGAGAAATGTGAAACAGATAAGGAGAGCCCTATGATTGTTCTAGCCTATATTCTTGAGAGAGTTTCCAGGCCATCTTAGGGAGGGTTAACAGAGGCGTAGCCAGGTAGACTCCCTGAGCTGAGCAATGGAACTTAGAGCCCAGGGAGAACAAAAAAAGTTAGAATTTGCAGAGTACTGGAGAAGAGAGAGCTGTACATAGAGAGAACTCTGATGATCTATAGAGGCACCCCCTGAGTTTTCAGCAGAGTACTGATCAGCACATGCCTGTGAAGAACTACCTGAGGTTGAGGAAAGAAGTTTCCAGAATGATTCTAAGGAATAGTTCCTGGTGCTCACACAGGGCTAGGGACAGTGTCTGTTTCTACCAGCCAGACTGGAACACTCTTAATTCATGGGTTACTGGATAGAGTACTCAGGAACATCTTGTTTCATTAGTGGGGAATAATCAACCCTGAGCAGTGCTTTGGACCCACCCTAAAAATCATGAATGAAGACCCCAAATGATCAAATTATTCCCAAATACTGCATTCCAGGACAAACTCAAGAAGATTGATTAGAATTTTTAAAAATGAGTACATATTCAACAATGTAAATGCACAATGTTTGGCATCCAATCAAGGATTACCAGGCATGCAAAAAGGTAGGAAAACATGACTCATAATGAGAATAAGCAATTGAAACTGACCCAGGATTGACCAGGTTAGTATAAACATAGGGCATTATTACAGTCATTGTAACTGTTCTATAAATAGGCATATGGAGACATAGAAGATATAAAAAAAAAATCCCAGATCAAACTAACTTCTAGACATAAAAACTATAGTGACTTGCCCTGGCTGGTTTGGCTCAGAGGTTAGAACATTGGCCTGAGGACCAAAGGGTCTCGGGGTTCAATTCCCAGTCAAGGACACAGACCTGGGTTGCAGGTTTGATACCTGGCCCCCATCGGGGTTATGTGGGAGGCAACCAGTTGATGTGTCTCTCTCACATTGATGTTTCTCTCTCCCTCCATCCAACTTTATCTGAAGAAAAATGGAAAAGTATCTTCAGGTGAGAATTTAAAAAAAAGAATGTTGGGAGGGGAGAATGGAAGTATACTATTTATACAGTTATTATATGAAGTGATATAATATCACTTAAAGGTAGATTCTGGTAAGCCTCACAGCAACCACTAAAATAAAAGTTAGAACAAAGGAGATAAAATGGAAACATAAAAAAATATTTGATAAATCAAAAAGAAGGCAGAAAAAAAGAATAAATAGGACAAAAAGAAAACATATTGGAGGTATCACACTACCTAATATCAAACTATACTACAAGGCCATAGTAATCAGAACAGCATGGTACTGGCATAAAAACACATAGAGATCAATGGAGCAGAATAGAGAGCACAGAAATAAGCCTACACCTATATGGGCAATTACAATTTCACAAAGGAGACAGAACATACAATGGAGTAAAGACAGTCTATTAATAAATGGTGTTGGGAAAATTGGACAGATATATGGCAAAAAGTGAAATTAGACCACCTTCTTATACCATATACAAGAATAAACTCGAAATATATTAAAGACTTAAATGTAAGAATCAAAATCATAAAACTCTTTGAAGAAAACATAGGCAGTAAAATCTCGGCACCTCTTTTAGCAATATTTTTTTCTGCTATAGCTCCTTGGGCAAGGAAAACAAAAGAAAAAAAAGTGAACAAATGGGAATACATCAAACTAAAAAGTTTTTGTACAACAAAGGAAACCATCAATAAAACAGACAATCTATTGAACAGGAGAAGATATTTGCAAATGATGCATTCAATAAGGGGTTAATACCCACAATTTATAAGGAATTCATACAACTCAATCAGTCATCCCAAAGATTGCCAAAAACATGAAAAGATGCTCAGTGTCACTAATTGTCAGAGAAATGCAAATTAAAAACACAATGAGATCTCATCTCATACCTGTCAGAGTGGCTTTCATCAATAAATCAACAAACAACAAGTATTGGTGAGGATGTAGAGAAAAGGGAACCCTCGTGCACTGTTGGTAGGAATGCAAATTGGTACTATGGAAAACAGTGTAGAGGGTCCTCAAAAAATTAAAAATGGAACTGTCTTATGACCCAGATATTCCACTTCTGGGTATATATCCAAAGAAACCCAAAACACAAACTTGAAAGAATATATGCACCCCTATGTTCATTGTAACATTATTTAAATAGCAAGCTACGGAAGTAACCTGAGTACCTATCAATAGATGAGTGGATGAAAAAGTATTGGTACATATATACAATGGAATATTACTCAGCCATAAAAAGAATGAAATCTTACCATTTGCAACAGCATGAATGGACCTAGAGGGTATTATACAAAGTAAAATAAGTCAGAGGAAGACAAATACCATTTGATTTTATTTATATGTGGAATCTAAAAAACAAAACCAACAAAACTGAGACTCATAGACCCAGAATGGACTGATGGTTGCCAGAGGGGAGGGTATTGGGGGATAGACTGGGTGAAAAGGTAAAGGGATTAATAAGTAGAAATTGAGAGTTACAAAATTGTGGATATGAAGTACAGCATAGGAATATAATCACTAATACTGTAGTAAATGTGTATGGTGTGCCAGGTGGGTACTGAAATATCAGGGGGAACACTTTGTAAAGTATATGATTATTTAACCATTATACTATACACTAGAAATGAAACTAATACACACTAATATTGAATGTAAACTGTAATTGAAAAGTAAAATGAAAAGAAAACATATAGCAAGGTGATAGATGCAAATCTAATCATATTAATCATAATAAATAAAAATTATCTGAATATTCTAATTAAAAGATGGAGATTAATTGGATTGGATAAAAAAGCAAGATTCAACTATATTCTGCAAGAAATACATTAAAAATAAAGATTCATATATGTTAAAAGTAAAACAATGGACAAAGATATACTATGCTAACATTAGTCAAAAGAAATCTGGAGTGACTATATTAACACCAAAGATTTCAGAGCAAAGAATATTATCAGAGATGATAAAGGTTATTTCCTAATGATAAAGAGGTTAATTCATCAAGAAGACATAACAGTTCTAGACACTTATATACCTAGTAGCAGCTTCAAAATATATTAAGCAAAAACTAATAAAGCTGTAAGGAGGAAAAGACTAATCTACAAGTATAGCTGGAGTTTTAATACTTTCAGTAATTTTTAGAACAAGTAGACAGGAAATCAGCAAGGATATAGTAGACTTGAAGACCACTAGGTACCAACTTTACCTTACTGATATATATAGAACACTACAATATACATTTTTAAAAAGTGTACATAGAACGTTTTTACTAGATAGACCAAGACAGGCTATAAAACAAATCTCACTAAATTTAAAAGAATTGAACTTACATAAGTATGTTTTCTGACCATAATGTGTTTAAGTTAGATATCAGTAACAAAAATGTCCATGGAAAATTCATAAATGTTAGGAACCTAAATAACACACTTCTAGATAACCCAAGAATTAAAGGAGAAATCAAAAGGGAAATAGAAAGTACTTTGAACTGAATGAAAAGGAAAACACAACATATCAGAATTTTTGGGATGCCCTAAAGCAATCCTTAAGGAGAAATTTATAGCACTAACTTATATTAGAAAAGAAGAAAGTTCTCAAATCAGTGAACAGTTTCCACCTTAAGACACTGGAAAAAGACAAACAAATTAAGCAAGTAATCAAAAGAATAGAAATAGAAATCATTGTAATAGAATAGAGAAAAACAGCAGAAAAATTGATGAAACCAAAAGCTGATTTTTGGAGAAGATTGATTTTATTAATAAACCTTTAACCAGAATGACCAGGAAAAAGAGAACACCTATTGCTAATATCAAGAATGAGAGAGGCTACACCTGAAACCTATATAATTTTACTGACCAATGTCACCCCAATAAATTCAATTAAAAAAAAAGAGAAAGGCAACATCATTACAGATTCTACAATATTAACAGGGTAATAAGTGAATATTACAAGCAACTTTATGCAGATAAACTTGACAACACAGGTGAAATGGACAAAGTCCTTAAAAGACAAATAAGCAAAGCTTAAAAATAAATAGATAACTGGCATAACTTAACTTCTATTAAAGATACTGGTGTTGTAGTTAAAAACCTTCCCAGATGGCCTCAGTTGTGAATTCAAACATTTAAGAAATAAATATCTATTCTACATGAATTCTTACCAAAAAAATTGAAGAGGAGAGAATATTTCCCAATTCATTCTATGAGGCCTGTATTACCATACCAAAATCAAAGGTGTTACTAGAGAAGAGAACTATAGATCAGTGTTTCCCATGAACATAGAATAATTTTAATAATTTTAGCAGACTGAATCTAACAACATATTAAAAGGATAATACATCACAACCAAATGGGATTTATCCCAGAAAAGCAGGGTTGATTTAACATTTGAATGTAATCCACCACATTAGCAAATTAAAAAAGGAAAACCATGATTAACTCAGTAGATGCAGAAAAGCATTTGTCAAAACCTAACATCCATTCCTGATTAAAAAAAAAGAGGACAAACTAGAGAGAAATAAGAGTCCGAGGGAAGAGAATTTGGAGGCAGGGAGGACAGGGAAGAATGTTATAGACAGACTTAAAGTGAGAGATGCTGAAGGTCTGAGTAAAAGCAGTGGCATGGGAATGGAGAGGAGAAAAATAACTTGACTGATACATCAGAGGTAGAATTGGTAGGACTTGGTGAGTAATTAGTTATTGCGGTTCAGAGGGAAAGAAGACTCAAATAACCTCAAGATTTCAAAGTATGAGTGTTTGGGTGGAGGTATACTCTTATACCGTAGACAACATAGAAGACAATGATATACATTTGTCAGGGGACTAGTCCCAAGTGGGTGGAAGGGGACTTAGGATAATAAGTTCTGTTTTAAGTTATCTTTTGGGAGCTTGTGGAAATGCCCAGTGAGCAACTGGAACCAGTGAAGGGAAACCTTGTTAATAATGACATACATGTGTACCTGTACAAAGAACCAGCCAGTCAACAGCCTTGTTCTAGTTCTGATTCAACAAGTTAGAATTTGTTAGTGTTTCTCCAAATTTTGTGCTGATTTTGAAGAGTTAGGGCCATGATCTAATGAGCTCCCCATTTTCTAGGTGTTAGTCTTTTGTAGCAGAAGAGAAATGAGTATTTCAGGTTGCTGCAGGCCATACTATGGCCCACTAGGCCCACCTGAGGAATAGTTGGCAGGCAATGAGAAGTCTCATCCCTGACAGTACTTGTTAGGAGGAGAAAGATGGAGCTGAAGCTGGAAAATATGGGTATTTCTGGAGGAGGGCTGGTGATAAACTGTTGCATATTTATCTCAGCTCTCATTTTCTCTGCAGTGGCTATCAGTGTAGCTGAAGACACAGCTCATTCCCAACTTGTCTTCTCCCAGGAAGGGAGGTACATGAAAAATGGAGTACCAGCCAGTTCTAGGCCATTACTTTCTACAGCATGGAGCTACTTTACTGGATGGAGGCCTCCTCAGCAGACCACCGACTCTGTGAAGAGATTTCAACACTTACCGTGTGTTTTGGGAAAAAATGTTTTCACTTCAGGGAAACATTACTGGGAAGTTGAGAACCGAGATAGCCTGGAGATTGCTGTGGGGGTATGTCAGGAGGACATCATGGGAATTGATGATAATTCAGAAATGTCTCCTCGTGTGGGCATCTGGGCTATTTGTTGGAGTCCCACCAGCTATTGTCCCCTAACAGACTCTCCTATAAGTCCCACCAAGCCAGAGCCAGCTCTTCACCGGGTAGGAGTTTTCCTAGATTATGGGGCTGGGGATATCTCATTCTACAATGCTGTGGATGGAGTGCACCTACACACTTTTTCTTGTTCTTTTGTCTCACGTCTCCGGCCATTTTTTTGGTTGAGCTCATTAGCATCTTTAGTCATCCCACCAGTTACTGGTGGGAAATGAGGCTATTCTTCATCTGCCCAAGAATCCCCACCTATATATTCCAGCCCATGGACATCCATTTCTTGGCCCTCTTCTTTCACTTCATACTGGTCCTTGGAAGTAATCAGTACGTACTATCCATTCAGATTCCAATTTAGTGTTTTGTTCAGCTCTCTGTATGTCACTTCATGTATGGTGAAAGATTTTATAACAATTAATCAATATGACCTTGATTCCCAGTCCTTGTTTCATTGTCACACATTTCACTTTTACATATGTAATAAATAGGTAATAAATATTAACACATTGTTACTATTAATACTTTAAAGGCGTATTTGCTTTAAACAAATATAGTATAGAAAAGTATAAGGAAGTATGAAATGACAATGTGGAAAAAAGACAATGAAGAAACCCAGGTAACTGAAGACTTATAAGAAGATTTTGGAAATATTTATCATAGAATACTGACACTAATGAATTAGAAGCTATAGACTACATTCAGGCAGCCAAGAGAGAGTCACAGGAAAGATCAAGAAAATCACTGCTCCTCTGGAGTCTGGGTGCTTAGTACAGCCTTCAATTCTTGGTGACCTGGGCTTCAATAATGTAGGAGATAGGTAATTATAAAGTGAAAATGATTTTCAGAGTCAAAGGGATTAGGGTTCTCTGAATAAAACTGAAGCACAGTTTGTCAGCTCTTCCTCACAGTTTTACCATCATTGGTATCATGGTGCAGACCTACAGAATGCTTGACAAGACCATCCTGGTTTGTTTTTGTTTTTGTTTTTGTTTCTTTCATTTAGCATGACACACACACTTTCAGGTCTTCCTTCATCCATTGTAAAAATCTCTGGCTTTCAATTGAACTCTGATCTATTTATACTTAATGACATAAATGGTATAGTTGAGTTTAAATCAACTTTTTAAAATTTATGCTTTCTGATGCAAGATTGGTTTAATATCTGCCAATCAATTAACCTGATATACCACATAAACAAAATGAAAGATAAAAATCACATGATCATATCAATAGATACATAAAAACCATTTGGCAAAATCCAGCACTTATTTATTATAAAAACTCTCAGCAAAGTGGGAATAAAGGGAACATACCTCAACATAATAAAGGCCATATATGACAAACCCACAGCTTACATTATAGTCAACCAGGGCAAACGAAAAATGTTTCCCTTAGGATCAAGAACAAGACAAGGATATCCACTTTCACCACTGTTATTCAACATAGCACTGGAAGTCCTAGCCACAGCAATAAAATAAGAAGAAATAAAAGGCATCTACATTAGAAAGGAAGAAGTAGTCCTGGCTGGTTTGGCTCAGTGGTTGGAGCGTCGGCCTGTGGACCAGAGACTCCCAGGTTCAGTTCCCACTAGGGGCATGTACACCCCGCCCCCGCCAGAAAAAGGAAGAAGTAAACTGTCACTATTTGTAGATGGCTTGATACTATATATAGATAACCCTAAATATTCCACCCAAACACTATTAGAACTAATAAATGATTCAGTAAATGATAAGGATACAAAATAAACATTCAGAAATCAGTTGCATTTTTATATACCAATAATGAGCAATCAGAAAGGGAAACTAAGAAAACAATGTCTTGCCCTGGCTGGTGTGGCACTGTGGTTAGAGCATTGGCCTGCATCTAAGGGTCATGGGTTTGTTTCCCGGTCAAGGGCACATACTTGGGTTGCAGGTTCTATCTCCAGTGCCAGTTGGGGTGTGTTTGGGAGGCAGTCAACTAATGTGTCTCACATTGATGTTTCTTTTCACCCTCACTCTCTGAAAATCAATGTAAAAATATCCTTGGGTGAGGATTAACAACTACAACAACAAAAAGTAAACAGTACCATTGACAATTGCATCAAGAAAAATAAAATACCTAAAACAAATTTAACCAGGGACGTAAAAACCCATACTCAGAAAATTATAAGACACCAAAGAAAAAAATGGAAAAAGATACAAATAAATGGAATCATATGCCATGCTCATGAAAATAAGGAATTAACATTGTTAAAATGTCCATACTACCCAATGAAATCTATAGCTTCAATACATTTCCTATCAAAATACGAATGGTGTCTTTCATGAACTAGAACAAATAATTCGAAAACTTATGTGGAACCACAAAAGACCCTGAATAGCCACAGCAAATTTGAGAAAGAAGAACAAAATTGGAGGTATCACACTACTTGATATCAAACTATATTACAAGGCTATAGTCAGACAGCATGGTACTGGAATAAAAACAAGCACATAGATTAATGGAACACAATAGAAAGCCCAGAAATAAACCCATGCCTATTTGGGCAATTAAAATCTCACAAAGGAGACAAGAACATACAATGAGGTAAAGACAGTCTAGGCAATAAATGGTGCTGGGAAAATTGGACAGATACATGGGGGTCAAAAAACTAGACCTCCTTCTTACACCATATAAAAGAATAAACTAAAAATGTATTAAAGACTTAAATGTAAGACTCAAAACCATAAAAATCCTAGAAGAAAACAGGCAGTAAAATCTATGACATCTCTCTTAGCAATATATATATTTTTTCTGATATATCTCCTTGGTCAAGGAAAACAAAAGAAAAAAAAAAAAAGAACAAATGGAAGTATCAAACGAAAACATTTTTGCACAGCAAAGTAAACCAACAAAACAAAAAGACAACCTACTGAATGGGAGAAGATATTTTGCAATGATACATCTGATAAGAGGGTTTATTACCAAAATTTATAAAGAACTCATACAACTCAACAACAAAATTCAATTAAAAAGTGGACAGAGGACCTAAGTAGACACTTCTCCAAAGAGGACATAGAGGTGACCAATAGACATATGAAAAGATGCTCAATGTCACTAATCATCAGATAAATGCAAATTAATACCACAATGAGATATCTCCTTACACCTGTCAGAATTGCTATCATCAATAAATCAATCAAAAAAAAAATGGGTGGGGATGTGGGGAAAAGGGGAACCCTTGTGCACTGTTGGTGAGAATGCAGATTGGTGTAGCTATTATGGAAAATGGTATGGAGGGTCCTCAAAAAATTAAAAATGCAACAGCCTTATGACCCGGAAATTCTACTTCTGGGTATATATTTGAAGAAAACCAAAACACTAAGTTGAAAGAATATATGCACCTCTATGTTCATTGTAATATTATTTACAATAGCCAATGTATGGAAGCCATCCAAGTGCCCATCAGTAGATGAGTAGATAAAAGAAGTAGTGATATGTATATACAGCGGACTATTGACCATTATAAAGAATGAAATCTTACCATTTGAAACAGCATGGATGGGCCTACGGGATATTATGCTAAGTGAAATAAGTCACACAGAGAAAGACAAATACCATGTGATTTCACCCATATGTGGACTCTAAAGAACAAAATAAATGAAGAAACAAAATGAAATGGACTCATAGACACAGAGAACATACTGATGGTTGCCAGAGGGGAGGGTGTTGGGGGACTGGGTGAAAAAGGTGAAGGAATTAAGAAGTACAAATTGATAGTTACAAAATAGTCATGGGGATGTAAAGTACGGAATATGGATATAGTCAATAATATTTTAATAATTATGTATTGTGCCAGGAAGGTAATGGAAATACCAGGGGAGCACTTTGTGAAGTGTATGATTATCTGACTACTATGCTATACACCTGAAACTAATACAAAATAATATTAAATATAAATTGTAATTGAAAAATAAAATGTAAAAGAACAAGTGGGAAAGAGGTGATTTAAATGTGAGAAACAAATCCTTTTATAATTGTTTAAAACATACTATTAGGGACTTCTGCTTCTGACCAAAATGGAGTAACATGGGTGAGATTTCCCCTTCTGCCTGGAACAAAGAAAAAACTGTGCAAATGTATGAACCAACAGTTTAGAACACTGAACTTAAAAAAAAAAAAAAAGAATATAATCTCTGCCTTGAGAGTTTCCAGGCTGGGATGAGGAAACCAGTGGAACCAAACCAACTCCCGGAGTTGAAAAGATAGAGTTAAGAGTCTGCAAATTCCTAGCTTACTGGAACTTGCAGGGCAGAGTCATGGAGAGAAGAAAGCTTCACAGAAAAAGAAATGCAGAGTTGTGCAGGAGTTCTCCCCCAGGTATTTAGCCAGGGTATTGATCAGCACATTTGCTTGAAAAAATTTCCAAAGGCTAGAAAAAAGATCTACCTGAAAATATTGAGGAAACAGATGTGGACCTAGACCAGGCCAGAAACAGTACCTGGCCCCACCAGCCAAAAAATTTTGAAGTACTGGGGGAAATACTCAGAAGGGTTTTGCCTCAGTAGTGAGGAATAATTAGAACTAGGTTAAACCCTGTTATGGTTCTACCTACAAATCTTGAAGAATCAGATTCCCAATAACTTAACTGCATTCCAGAACAAATCTCAAGAATACATGGAGTAATACAAAAATATCTAGCACACAACAAGGTAAAATTAACAATGTCTAGCATCTAATATAAAATTACCATGCGAAGAAACAAGAAAATATTACCCATAATTAATTTTAAAAATCTGTGACTTGAAGCCAACCCAGAACTGATACTTAATAGACTAATTTGAGATTGATTATGTTGTTTAGGTCAGACAGAATCAGCAGACAAGGACATTAAACCCTTATTACAACTGTATTCCATATATTCAAAATGCTAGAGGAAAGATTAAACATGTTATTAGAAACAAGGAAGATAACACACACACCTTTCTAGAATTTAAAACTGTAATGTCTGGAATGACACTAGCAGGAATTAGCAGCAGATTGGACATGGCAAAAGAAAATATTGGTGCATAAAGACATAGGAATAGAAACTATTCAAAATGAAAAAAGTCTAAAAAAATAATGAACAGAGCATCTATGAGTTTTAGGACAACCTCAAACAGCCTTTCATACATATAATTGAAGTCCTGATATAGTGGAGACAGACTGCACAGAAAAATATCAAAGAAATAATAGGATACTATTAACTAAACCCATTTGACACAGAACACTTCACTCAAAGTGCATATAAAATGCTTATCAAGATGGACCATATTCTGGGTCATAATAAAAGTATCAATGAATATAGACAACAAAGCTGGGGATGAGGGGGGGAGAGGGGAGGAGGGTGTCAATGGGAAAAAAATGAGAAACAGCTGTAACAAAAACAAATTAATAAACAAAAAATTTAAAAAAACAAACACGCCTGTGTAACTATTGTCTTTACACAGTAGTGTGCTGTGTAAAGTACTGGTACATTACC